TAAGGCCAAAACAACAAACATTCTAGAAGAAAATTTATTAAAAAATAAATAAAAACTTCTCTGGACATTGGCATAAGAAAGAATTTATGGCTAAGACTCTGAAAGCAAATCCAACAAAAATAAAAATAAATAAGACTTAGTCAAGTAAAAAGGCTTCTGTGCAGCAAAATAAACAATCAACAGAGTAAATAGCCAACCTACAGAAGGGAAGAAAATATTTGCAAACTATATATCTGAAAAAGGACTAGTACCATGAATTTACAAGGAGCTCACATCAGCGAGAAAAAAAGTAATCCATTTAAAAAATGCGTAAATGACATGAAAAGACATTTTTTAAAAGAAGATATACAAATGTCCAACAAACATACAACAAAATGTTCAAGATCACTAATCATGAAAGAAATGTAATTTAAAACCATAATGAGATATCACCTTACTCCATTCAGAATGGACATTAGTAAAATCAAAAAACAATAGATGTTGATGCGGATGCAGTGAAAAGGGAACACTGTGGGTGGGAAGGTAAGTTAGTACAATCTCTGTGGAAAACAGGATGGAGTTTCAAAGCACTAAAACTCTACCATTCAATCCAGCAATTCTCGCGACTGGGCATCTACCCAAAGGAAAGGAAGTCACTATATCAAAAAGGCATCTGTATCTATATGTTTATAGCAGCAGAATTAACAATTGCAGTCTTGGAACCAATCTAACTTCAGTGAAGGAGCTGAGAAAGATAATGTGGTATACGTATACCACAAAAGACCATTCATTCTTTTCTAATTTTTTTAATTTTTTTTTTAGACAAGGTCTTCCTTTGTCACTCAGGCTGGCATGCAGTGCCACAGGCTCAGCTCATTGCAACTTTCGCCTCCCAGGCTCAACCAATCCTTCTGCCTCAGCCTCTCCAGTAGCTGGGACTACAGGTGTACCACCATGACTGGCTACTTTTTTTTTTTTTTTTAGATATGGGGTCTCACTATGTTGCCCAGCCTGCTCTCGAACTCCTGGGCTCGACAGTCTTCCCACCTTGGCCTCCCAAAGTGCTGGGATCACAGGTGTTAGCTACTGTGTTTCCAACATTACTCATTCATTAGAACCCAAATGTCTTTTGTAGCAACTTGGATGGAGCTGGAGGTTATTATCCTATGTGAAGTCACTCAGGAATAAAAAACCAATTACCACATGATCTCACTGATTAGTGGGAGCTAAGCACTGGGTAGACAGAGGCATATGGAGTGGTGTAATTTCCATTAGAGACTCAGAATCAAGGAGGGTGGAGGAGGTTTCAAGATAAAAAAAAACTACCTTTTTAGTACAATGTACACCATTCAGGTGATGGCTACATTAACAGCCCAGACTTCATCACCATACAGTTTATTCACATCACTGAAAACCACTTGTACACCTAAATCTATTAATTTAAAAAAACAAAATACTTACCAGGCACGGTGGCTCACACCTGTAATCCTAGCACTTTGGGAGGCTGAGGTGGGTGGATCACCTGAGGTCAAGAGTTCGAGACCAGCCTGGCCATCATGGTGAAACACCATCTTAAAAAAATAAATAAATAAATAAAATAAAATAAAATAAAAAACTTAAAAAGAAACAAAATGCAACATCAGAACTTCAAATAAAACTTGTGGAAAAAGTATCCCATTGGATCCTTCTCTAGGATCTTCCCTATAACTGAACACAAAATTTAACATTTTCAACACAAAGGCTTTGACCATTAAGATACAACATGTTTGAGCCAGATGATTTTAGATTTTACCTTTGAAATATAAAGCTACTTACTAGTTTGAAATATATCAGTTTGAATTCATAACAAACAATCATACTTTTAAACAGACACACTATATTAAAATATTTGCATAACATTGGCCCTTAAGAAAGAAAGTAGAAGAAATGTACAAGTACGTATCTGTCATTGACTAATTCTGTGACCCTGGGCAAATAGCATAAGCTTTCTGTTTGTCATTGTTACCACTTGTAAAACAGAGATACTAGTATTAGCAATTTTATAAAGAAAGAAAGAAAACAAAGAACTGCCATAACATCCTAGCTTCCTAAGGGAGAGCTCTGGGAAAAACACCTATATATAGTCAGAACCATTTTTTAAAGCAATGATTCTAATGATTGATTAAAGGAAAATTATCCAGAGACGAACATTTATTACTAGAATTTAACTGGGTTGACATTTGCATAATCCAGATGGTTAGGAGTAGAGACCTGCAGACCAAACTATTCCTCAAATATCCTAGGAGGAGGCCAGAAAGAGAATTCAGTACTATAGCTACTAAGCAGATGAATTGATCTGGCTGGTATATCAAGAACACTCATGGCAAAGGTCAAGGCAGACGACAAACCACAGGAACAGGATTTAAGGCAAGAAATAGAATGCCTAAGAAGTATGACAAAAGCAAAACACATCTTCCAGTTAGGAGAAGGGATAACTAGCCATTGTTTTAAGGCAGTGACCCAGTTTTTGGCCAGAATATCAGAAAAGACCAAATCCCAGTTATTCAAACCAAGGAGCAAGATCAAAAGGAGGGTAGACACTCCTTACTTGAAGCTCTTTGAGTTTCTAGTCTGCAGCAGGACTAACTCAGTATGTGAAAGTCACATTGCCCTTGATGGGGCAATTAGACTGTCATACTCATCTGAACTTTGTGGTGACATTATTTTGTGAGTCCTCCCTTTTGTATTGCATCACATTGCTAAGAATAAATGCTACTGTTGAGAGTATCTGGAGAAATTTAGTTACATGGATTTGAGCTACAGGCATTCTCTCATTCCTATTCACTCCTTGTGTCTTGTATTTTTCATATTACGTATTTTTACCGAAACACAAACTACTCTTAACATTAACTGTAATATATCTCCACTCTAATAAAGACAGTGAAAAATAAAACCAGGACATCGCACATCAACTATAATAAAGATCTGGATAAAAACCCTCAAGATAATACAATTATCTTGCTCCTGTTTATGATGAAAACTGTATGAATTATTATGCTTAGCTTTCAAGAAAATTGGGGCCAACCCAGAGGTGAGAAAGGGGCCATAATGTGAGAGAACATTTAATTACGTTTTTCCCCATGATTTTGAAGTTCTATCTCCAATAATATTTCCCCTTAGTCCTGTTTTCTTACTCTCATTTTGTTTTCATTATTATATGCTTTTTGTTGTTAAAATACACTTTAAATCTTTAGGGGGTAGTTTACAAAAAAATGAATACTAAATAAATAAGATATATTGATAGTTTTATTTTCCTTGATATTAAAAGGATAGTGACTGATGGTAGCCTTCCTCAGGTGAGGGAGTGAAGTGGTTATTTGAGTAGCATTTGTATGAAGAAACGATGTGGTCCTCACATTGTAAGAACAGTAAAGAAAACAGGGTAAAAATAGTCATGAGGTTAACATAGCCACAGCAACTCTGATATTAGAACTAAATGTGAAAACAATCAACTGAAGAAAATCAGTGAGTTTTCTTGCAATAATTTGTTTTCTCATTTATTTTCTCTCCAAGCTGTAAGAAGATACCTAATTTCTAGTTAAGTCCCACTGAAAGATCTTCAACCCCAAACCCCAAAAGGGAGCTGTATTATTTAAACACCTTAAAGTTGTCCTTGTATGAATCTCAGTGACCTCTCCTCTTGACAAGAAAAATCACCTATCTAATTTCAAAGGCAGATAAGAATGTAACTTCTACTGTGCTTCATCAGCCACATCTGAGATTAAAAAGTAGGATCCATTTCACTCTCTTTGAAAAAGTGGTGGAAATGGCTGCAAATGACTAAGCAGGTGGCTGAAAAATTGTAGTCAGGTTGACCCAGGGCCTAATGTTCAAGACTTAAAGATGAAAATAGGGGGGAAATTATAAACCACAGACTCAGCAGCCAACTGAAGTCCTGAGTTAAAATTTTGTCCAGTTTCGAGGAAAAGTAATTAATCTGAAATCACTTCTTATTCTTACCTGGCTCCCCGAGTATGATTCAATTAAATGGGAACTCAGTGGCAAGGTGTTATTAGAACCACTATTTATTTTTCACAAATTCCATTGGCTAAGTCTGAGTATGTTATTTTCACAAGCCACTGACACCTGGAATGCTTCCACAGAAAACAGTCCCAGGGTCTGGATAATAAGTCTCACGAGGAACAAGTGAAGGGATTTTGTAATTTTTCATAGAAAAGAGAAGAGGAAAGTTCTTCTCAGCATTGGAACATCAACAAAAAGAGAAGCAAGCTATCCAGGACCATGCTGCTAGTGATGGCAAAACTGGGAGAAAATGATAGAATTATACAAAGAAACATGAAAGTTATCTTTCATTCAAATCAATGAAAGATAACTAACTGGATGCACTGTGACATGCTGATAGTGAAATACACATCTCTGGTGAGTGAAGCCAGGGAGGCAAGAGAATGCTTCCCACCTCCACAAGGTGATTGTGGACTCCAGTGCAACTGGGCTGGAGGCAGTCCTGCCCATGATGTCTATAATAATCTCCCCTTGATTGTCTCAGAGACTAAATTTATTCATTCATACGAAAAGTCAAAATTTGCTTGTATCAGAAAGACGTCACTATTCACACAGAAATAGAATGAACCAGAAGAAAATGCTTTTTCTGGTTTGAGTTAGTGTTCTTTACTGCTGGGTGTCAACTGACTGCCATTATGTAAGTGAAAATAACTTTCAGTCTCATTCCAGTTGTTTTTAACAAAGAGAATTACGGGCAGCCTCAGTTTAGTAGAACTTTCAGCTTATTCAATAAATAAGTTAATAAGGAAAAGAACAGTATGGCTCTGGTGTAGGAGGGAATGTGCTACTTTCTCTGTGCATCCTGACCTTCATCCACACTACAACTGATTATATTTTTATAACATTTTACAAATAACCCTGGCCATCACTAGCGGCACACCCTTGGACAACTTCCTTCTTTTTGTTGACTTCCCAATGTTGAGAAGAACTTTCCTTTTTTTTTTTTTTTTGCATTATTGTACTACACATGAAGTACAGAGAAAAAAAATAATGTTCCACCCCTCCCTTTAGGGAGGACTCTATGTGCAAACACAAAATTTCTGCAGAAAATTGTAAGATTATAAGTAATAGGTAGTACCTTGTCTTCGCTCATCTATGTTTTCCCATCTATACACTGAGTGTGGATCATATAATGTTTAAGTTTTTTTCCAGTGCTGAAGGAGTCTCTGTGACTGGTTCTTAATCTTCAGCACCTGCAGCTATCACTTACTATCTCACGAAAAGGTGGGTTTCCCAAGACATCAACAGAATCTCACTGCAGCCTACAGGCACGTGATAGATCAAGGGTTCTCCACGGGTGCTGAAGCTTCCTGTGTGTTCGCAACAGTAAACATCCCGCCCCAGCAGTTGACTTATGTCTGCTTTTTAAACAATTGCAACAGATGGTTGACACTTGAAGAGAATGTATAATTAGCTTTGCAATCTAACACTTCATTCTTACTTGCTCTTTCTCAAAGGAGAGAAGCTGTGCCTTATGCCACTGGGTCTAATCTGTTAGTTTAATCAGAAGCAGTGCTATGTAAGTTCTCAGGAGACATGGGCTGTGGGAGGATTCCTAATCCCAGCCTTTTGAGGACATTAAAAAAAGCTGGGAGGAGGTGTAGAGAGAAATCTCAGTACTTTTTAAAAGCTCATGCTTCATTCTCATTTGTCTTCCAAAAGAGGAAAGTTTTTATGCCTTTTTCTCTTCCTTCCTCCACCTCATCTCCCTCAGCCTCTGCTTCTTCATCCGGGATAATGATTCCTAACACAGAGGCTGCTCTGAATACTAAAAGAAATAACTCCTCCAAATGCCTAGCAGAGAACCTGACACACGGCAGACACTCCACAAGGAACTGATATAGTTCCCTCACTGCAGAGAAACTCAAGTGACATTAATTCCTATTTGTTTTGGCACCGTTAATGTGATTACAGTCCCTGAATCCAACCACTCAACCCGCCACCTTTCTCAAACCTACTTTCAAGGAGGAGCCTCTGTCTGTGTTTGCCTTTCTCTTCCATGGCATCTTGTCTGCACATGTCACTTCTCCGCTTTCTTAGCCAAGACGTCTCCTATGTTGGCACACATCCCTGGAAGTGAAGTAATTATTTTACCCTCTTTTAATCAACCACTCCTATGTCCTCTCAGAACCTATTCCAGATTCTGCTACCTTTACGCTTCTCTGAGTCAAAACTCTTAAATCGAATATGCCACTCCCTACAAAGTTTTAATTTATAGAATAGAGCTATAACTGCCCTACTTGTTATTTTTATGATCAATTTATGGGGATTTTTATACGTAACCATCTCCAGCTTGTCAGAGAACTATGCCATTTCAGAGAAAAGAACGATTTAAGAGTGGAAGGCACAGAGTTGTCAAAAAATGGAACTTGGCATATCAGAAGAGAATAACTCCACTTCACTCAAAGTATCATAGAGCCAACAGACATGGTGGGGTGTGCCTGTGGTCCCAGATACTCAGGAGACTGAGGCAGGTGGGTAGCTTGAGCCCAGAATTTCAAAACCAGCCTGGACAACACAGCAAGACCCTGCCTCAAAAAATAATCTGTATCCTAAATCCATCAAATGACTCTTCATTAGAGAAATACTGCATTTATTGTAAGAAAGATTACATGTCATCAATGGCCATGCTAAGATTTGGTAATTCAATGAACTTTATACAACTCAGAGAGCAAATGGTTCATTTCTTTAAGAAATTTAAAGTCTTTAGATAAATGCTAACAAAGTACAATCTAAAATAGTTTACAAAACTCAAAGAAAATAAATTAGAGAAAATATATAGAGAGTCATTGGAATGATTTTAAAAATTGAATTGCCATAGAAAAGAAACGTATTTATATTGAGCTTTGTGCTAAGTAATTCATATACTTTGCATACAAGCAATACGGTAACATATGCAATGTTTTTAGCACAGAGAATGTACATAGTGAATGCTTAGTAGAGGCTGACTTTTATTATCAACTTCAATTTCAGAAACATTTCTGTTTTTCAGATGAAGAAAATTGGGCTTGAATATTTGGGTAGTCAGGCAAACTTCACAAAAAGACAATGTGATAAAATCAGGGTTTCAAATGAATCTGCCAGACGTTAAATCCCATCCCTTTTTCCTGCTATGCTACATGACTTGCTATTGAAACTAGGAGGGCTTTTCCTTAAGAGAATGCCTCATTGCTTATTCACGACCTATCTGGGAAGAGATAAACACAATTTCATCACAGGTAGAGGACACTTGAGTTCTGCTTCAAGTGATACTTAAGCCCATTGTAAGGTTTTAGTGTGCATCAGATTCATTCACTCATCTAACAAATATTTAATAGGCATCGCACTCTGTGTTCAGAACTATTCTAGGCACTAAGGGTACTATGGAGAAGAAAGTAGACATTCATCTAAAACACAAATATATGAAGTGAGCTTAAATATCGATTTCTGCTCAAAACCTTTGACTCAGAATAACAGCTCTATTCCTGGTCAAATAATTGTAGTTATTTTTCTTGAGCACAAACTCTGCATCAGACTTCATAGGCATTGTAATACAATGATAAAACCTTTGGCTTCACTTATTAAATATATACATAATCATAACAAAATTATAGCATAAATGACATAAAGACATAATTACAGCATCTTAAGAAAAAAAGATCTTTAATATATTTTGAATGTTTTCCAAATTAATTAAATACTCCCACACATATATTTAAAATTTTTCAGTAATTCTACATACATATTGTTTTATGATTTACTTTTAGGTAGAATTTAATATGCATATAGTACAAGATAAGAACATTTGCAGTACCCCAAAAGGCTTCCTCTTGCCCTTTCCAGTCAAAACTCTTTCCAGAGATGAATTGATATCTATCACCTTTATAAATTTTTCTTGTTCTTGAACTTCATAAAATTGAATTATGTAAGGTGTACTCATTCTTGACTGACTTCTTCTATAGAACATTTTGTTACATCTTGCTTTTAATCTAGCATTACATAATAAATGGTTTCTTCATCAAATTTCATTCAACAGAGATTTATGTGTTACTAATCAGATGACAGGCACCGGCTTAGAGACTGTTTGTGCAGGGATATTCACTATCCCCATTATGATTAAATAATATAGTGAGAGTCCAGCAGATAAAATAAAAAGAACATTTTAAAAAGCTGATATCATGTCATTATAAAGACAAAATAAATCATTGGTTTAAAGCGTTTGATTTCACAAAGCCATGTTAATGTTGGTGGTGGGTACAATCATTATTATTATACTATATTGAGAGAAAAAGGCAATTGTGGTATAACTATGAAAATGCTCAAACAACCAAAGTGTTAGTAAAATACACAAGTCAAATTGATGTCAAGTTGATGTGTTAAAACTTCATTCATAGGTGAAAAGCCCTGGTACGTTTAATCTCATCACTCCAGACATTCAGATCAATTGACCATTTGTGTAAGAATTTCCTATGTTTTTAAAATCATGTATTGTTTATGTGGTCACACCTATAAGATTTTATCAGATTCACTGTTTTTTTTTTTTTTTTCTTTTGGAAGAGTGTGGCTGGGTAGAAATGACTGCAACAGCTATGTTGGAAAATTTGGTTATGACTTAAGTTTTTATTGAAACGTTTTGTAAGAAATCAGCTGTCAAACTTGAAAAGAGACCCACAGATAATTTAAAAGTGTGATTTTGTTTTCTATTTGTCTTGTAAGTCCCAAGAATACAAGTGAGAAGAAGCTTATAAGTTATTGTGATAAACCTGTTCCATTCATTTAGCTCATTAACTGCACTTGGACAGACAACCTCTTCTACCTGAAAAGTGATAGGTAGTTTGAACATTCTCATTTTCACCAGGGAACAGTTATGGATTTGATCTCGAAGTTACAGTAACCAAAACAAAAAATATATGTTTGAACAGTTTTTCTGGCCTTATTTATTTTTGCTTTCCCCTTCCAAAATAAGCCTATTCTGGTAGTGAAAATAACTCTTCACTGAAATCAGTGGATGATCGACCCCATTTAATTATTTCCCAGGAGACATTTGCCGTCTTTTTTGTTTCTGATGCTCCAAACCCGGAAATAAAAATGCCCAGTAGTCTCTCCTTCTACTTTTTTTGGTAACTAAAACATGGTCACATGACCTGGCTTCTCTGTGGCCTATCAATGTTTTTGCTCAGGTCTTGTTATCTTCCGTAAGTAAGGAGAAAGGTGTAGTCACTTCACCATTTATTTTGAAGTGGAGGCAGCAGCATCCCTTTCTTAAGATGAAAGGCAGAGCTAGAAGCCAGGATGGAATCTTTATTTGCTCTTGGCCAGCCTCCTCTGGTTCACTCGCCTCCCTGTGCATTTGCTGATATCCTTCTATTGAACTTCTTTCTTTTTGAGTTAGCTAATGGTTTCTCATTGTTTGCAAACAAAAACTTAATACAAACATTTCAGCATTAAAAGAAGAGGCAAAATAGCAGTATATGCTGCCAAATCTTTCTATTCAGGAGGATATACATTTCAATGTTTTGCTGGAACAAAAATGATTAAGACACAGTTCTTGTCCTTCTAAAATTTTTTTTGACCTAAACAATTATTGTTTTACACACACGCACACACACACACACACACTGGCTGAGATTAATTTATTCATTATTTTTTGATGTTAACACAGTATGTGCCAAATTTCTAATGTGCATGGTACAATGTGAAATGATATGTAAAAAAAAAAATGACAATGATTGCTCTTCATTTAAAAAATGAAAGAATAATATTTTATAAAAGCATTACATGATATAAATTTATTCTCAGTTATGCAGTTCAAGATGACAAAATATAAATATCTTGTAAAAATCTAAGTATATTACAACTTGATTGTAGACACTAGCTACCTAAATTTTGATATTATAATCAAAACATGATTCACATCATCAACAGAGTTATGAAGATAAAACTTTTCTGTAAATTTTTCTTTCATAATAAAAACAAGCAGTGCTTCTAGACCAATACTGTGCTAAAAATCAATGCTTATTTAAATCTAGCCAGTGTGTGTATGTGTGTGTGTATATATGTGTGTGTGTGTGTGTGTGTATGTATGCAAAACTTACACCTTTTGATCAAATAAAAAACATAATTGAATATTTGAACAAAGATGACTTGATGTGGACAAATGCAGTTCCTCTAGGAACTAACTATAACACAATTTCACATTTATGATACCCCACTTTGTTATGATGTGTGCCATGGGAAGAAATTCCCCACAGCACCTGTCAAGTGGGTGCTTCTGTCCAGGACTAAAATAGTCAATGAGTGATACTAAGATACAGAGACTGTGCCAAATCCATAGTAAAGGTTAGAAGCATGTGTTATGACATGACACAAAACAGATTCCGTGAGGCCCAGCTCTGCCCACTTTGATACATCACACACATCTGTCTGGTATTGCAATTACAGTCTTGAGTAGGTTATCCCATAACCCCTCTGACCTCAGTTTTTTCATTAGTAACATGGAAATACAATTACAATTTCAAATTTATATGCTATTTGTGAAGATTAAACGAGGTATCTGACAGAGTGTGTAACCCAGTGTTTATCATATATGAGATGCTTTGCAACTGCTGCATGTTATTAGTATTAGTGTCACTCATTTTTTTGTTGTTATGCATTCTTTTGTCAGTTAGTAATCTTATTTTTTCTTACTCTGTAATTTATTATTACAAGAAAATAGCCGGATTTTAGAAAAGCTGAAAGATAGTGAATATCTAAAATAGATATGGCCCATAAGTTTATTTAAATAAATGGTGTTACACCTAATTGCAGAACTTCAAATTTGTCATAACCCAATGGTCATCACTAAATATTCCTGTATACACAAGGGAGATCTGTGAAATAAACTAGGGTTTTCAATAGTTAATCCAGATTAATGAATGCGTTAACAATGATTGTTTCTACCAGATGGCCTCGGTTCTAACTGAAAACTAAATAAACAGTAGCAATTGGGAATCAACATTTTGGTTCAGAAATGATCATATTCTACAAAAATTTTCTCTTGGGTAGCGTAGCCTCTAGGAATGAGTTAAAATTTAGTATTTTTCAAGAGGAAC